AAGGAGAAAAACACAAGCCTTCCAGATGGGCCACTGCCGATTAAGCTTGCATTTTAGGGAGAGATGATGCCCACCTTTAACCTCTTTCAAGGCATCACACATTTTGGGACTCAACAACCAAGAAACAACAGAGGAGAAAGCAATGATGATGGAAGCTGTTTTGGCTGAGACATCCCAAGGACCCAGGAGCTCCTTCACCCTACATCGAACCATGGAAAAGAGCTCGCCAGAGATAGGGCGTTGGCACAGCTCCAGGTCATGCTTATGGTACCATATCCCTAATCCATCCCTCTTTGCTCTGTCCTAAGACTTCAGTTGACTGGCCTTTCCCAGGTCTCAAGGGCTTGTCACATTCTTCATTACTTTTCTGTGTTTTTTGACAATGCTATCTAAAATCTTCAGTAATGTGTGTTAAGGTATGGCTCCCATAAGAGTGTTTCAATGATTCAGGGGCACTCTAACCTTCCAAAACATTTGTAAGAAGAATAGTAGCTGTGTGCTTGGGACTACTTTCTAAGCACTACCTAACCTATCTGCTTCAATCCTCTCAATACCCACATTTTTAATTCCCCTTTACAGGTGAGGAAGTGGAGGCTCCACACATTTAAGTGTCTTGCCCAAAGTGATATGGTTGTCAAAAAACTGAACTACGATTTGAGCCCCAAATTATTTAATTCCAAAATAAGTGGCCTTAATTACTCTTTACTTGTGTACTTGATTATTATCTGTGTCTGCCTGTCAACCATCACGCTCACCACTCACCCAACAAGTACATCCTAAATAAGTAATTGCAGAATGAACGAACACTATCTTCCCTTGAGGCCCAGAGATTGGAGGCATCACGGTGGAACAGCAGCGGGTCAGTGCTTTATTTCACAGTTCACTGAAACATCAGAGCCAGTGGCCTTGTGATGCCTAAGGAGTCCAGACAACTTTGGAGTCCTTGGTACAAAAGGAATTCCTTGTTTACTTGCAGAAACACTTCATGTCGAGACTTTTGTAGTCTTCTTCCTTCCTTCTTTCCTTTTTTTTTCTTTTACTGTTTCTCTTTCATTCTTTCCTTCCTTCCTTTCTTCCTTCCTTCTTTTCCCTCCTTTCTTCCTTCCTTCCTGCCTGCCTGCCTGCAAGCTTGATCAACCAGCTTAAGTTGTTACAAAACTAGAAAACCTGAATTAAGTAGAAATCATGAATTGAACATGTTTCAGAGGGAAGGAACTAAATCTAGCCTCAAATGAGAAGCTTATTTCCCAAAATATCAAAGCCTTTACAAATTATGGCTAGCATTGTTTTTCTTTTTCTATCAGGACACTAAAATCAAATCTACAGGTGTCTGATTTTCACAGACTTCATAGACTTTGGGGCATGCCTCAACACCCAGCCTCATCCCTCCTCTTCTCCTCTTGGATTCAGTCCCTTCTCCTGAGTTGGGAGGTTGTCTGGACAGTGTCTTTGCTATCTGCGTTGCTCTTCTCCCCACCACCCGCGTGCATTTGCCCCTCCGTCCCTCAGTGCATTTCCCCCATCCCTCAGTGCATTTCCCCCATCCCTCAGTGCATTTCCCCCATCCCTCAGTGCATTTCCCCCAGGATGCTGTGGCCACACTGACCAAGTGTCTCCATCTCTGCCCCTTCTTTTTCCCCTGAGTGCTGTCCAGTGTTTTCTGGAACCTGTGAACTTCCTGTGAATGCTAAATACTAAGAGCTTCTCAAAATGAGACTCTATGTTCTAAACAGAACCTGTAATCAGGATTTCAGGGAAGGTCAGCTGCCTTCCACCCACACAAGCACTTTGCTGTGTAAGACATTGTCTATGGAACATCAGTGTCACTTGGGGCCTTGGAAGGACATTCAGGAAGGGAGTTACCGAGTCTAAATTTCTGGAGATGTGTTTAGTAGGGAAGAATTCACTATAATCCACGAATGATTGATTGATTTCTAGAAAGGCTCGCAACTGTTTCTTTTTGACACTCAGGACTGGACCTCTGAATCAGTGCGGAACATGAATGAGAGCGGTCACGGGAGAACTGGAGGATGCTGATGGAGGCTGGAAGGCTTGCAGTCACCTGCATGTGCTTATCTAAGTGATGAGAATGTAGGAGCAGCAGGACCTGGCTCATCACTACCCTATGTTTGTTACAGGAGATAGGACCGTCCTCCCACAGGTCAGAGCTATTGTTAATCAAGGTGACAGTGGAAGATGCGTTCCCACTCCTGAGTTCTTGCTGTAAATAGGTTTCCTGAGTGGTGTTGGTTTATTCTGAATTTGGGAGCCAGTTCAATCAAATGTTTCACTAGATTCAACTTTGATGAAAATACTAGCAAATCCCCCAACTAATGAGTCACTATAAGTAACTCACGGCATCTGTCCAGCTCCCCACATAAGGGAGTACTGGTCCTGAGGAAATGGGACCACATATATAGGGAACAAATGTGATACAATGAGTATCCCAGTGATTGCTTTGGGTAAATTTTGCTGGCCATATAGGTTTCAGTTCCTCTACATAGACAAGGAAATGCTCCTCATGACCGACAACAGCTCCTGCACCAAGGCTATCTAGTCATTAGAATGGTCTCTAGAAGACAATATCGTCAGTAATCACTGTTCGCAAGGAGCTTGCTTCTGTGGTACTGTGTCATTGCTAATAGTTTCTGTTAGAGCAACTGCATTGCGGGAGGCCTGATCCAGGGAAGGCAGAAACCAAAGCCTGTGCTCCCAGGAAGGTTATGAGAAATGAAGAAAAACACCAGCCCCTCTGCAGGAGGGGAAATGGTTGGAAGGACCACCCACGGCTAGAGACCCAGCACTTGGGTCATGACTCACCCTTGGTAGGTCAATACAGACCCCACTTCTTCAGGCCTTGGTTGTGGATCACACCCTGGATTCTTCCCTTCCAAGTACAGCCCCGTTGCCATGATGCTCCTTGAGTCAATGAGCTCTTTGGTCTGCTCTTCGGCTCAAGCAAAGAAAGGGTCTGGCTTCAGTTCTCAGAGGCTGACAAGTACCAAGGGGGCAGAATATGGGAGTATCCTGTAGGTGCTCCCAGCATCTTCCCTGGCTCAGGTGCCGGAGGCTTGGGGTTTTCTAGCTCTTGACCTCACACTCTCGAATGTTTGTTTTCCAATTCCTTCCTGAATAACAGTGTGAACATGCCACCCCTTCTGGTGGTGAATGGGGTTCCTGAGAGCTGGGAGGTCACAGTCCAGACCCTGAGGCTCTTCACCAAACAAGTGCTGGAGAGCAAAGCCGCTCACTCACAACTCGCTCTCTCTTTCTCTTTCAAATCTGGGGAGGGGGAGGCCATCTGAGCAGTTTCTCTCACACTTCCCAGTAAGGAAATCACAAAGGACCAAGTGCGCTTCTACTGCGCCCAGCCAGGACTGATGGCTTTAAAAGAAGAGGAAGAGAGATCCGAGCTAGGACACTCGACTCCCTCGCCCTGTGGTGCCCTGCGCCACCCTGGGCCTCTGCAAAGAATCCCCACAAGCAAGAAGGCCCTCACAAGATACACTCCCTGGACCTCAGACTTCCCAGCCTCTAAAACTGTAAGAAATAAATGATGTTTCTCATAAATTACACAGTTCCAGGTACTCTGTTACTAGCAACAGAAAAGAGACTAGGACAGATAACACAGTTAGATTGTATTTTACTGAGAAGTAATGCATAAAAAAAGGAATAATTGGCCGGACGCGGTGGCTCACGCCTGTAATCCCAGCACTTTAGGAGGCCCAGGCAGGGGAATCATGAGGTCAAGAGTTTGAGACCAGTCTGGCCAGAATGGCGAAACCCCATCTCTACTAAAAATACAAAAAGTAGCCGGGCGTGGTGGCGCACACCTGTAGTCCCAGCTACTCGGGAGGCTGAGGCAGAAGAATCACTTGAACCCAGGAAGCAGATGTTGCAGTGAGCTGAGAACATGCCACTGCACTCCAGCCTGAGTGACAGAGAGAGAAATAATCTCCAAACATAGTAAACAAATTCCTGCAGACAGGAAATATAATGGTGGATACCTGAGCTGGGAGAAGGGGAATGGGGAACTATTATTCAATGGATACAGAGTTTCAGTTGAGGAAGATAAACAAGCTCTGGGGATAAACAGTAGTAATGGTTACACAACGTGAACGTACTCAATGCCTCTGAATTCAAAATTGGTTAAAATGGTACTTGTTATGTTAGGTATATTTTACCACTTAAAAAATTATCGGGCCGGGCACGGTGGCTCAAGCCTGTAATCCCAGCACTTTGGGAGGCCGAGACGGGCGAGATCGAGACTATCCTGGCTAACACGGTGAAACCCCGTCTCTACTAAAAAATACAAAAAACTAGCCGGGCGAGGTGGCGGGCGCCTGTAGTCCCAGCTACTCGGGAGGCTGAGGCAGGAGAATGGCGTGAACCCGGGAGGCGGAGCTCGCAGTGAGCTGAGATCCGGCCACTGCACTCCAGCCTGGGCAACAGACCGAGGCTCCGTCTCAAAAAAAAAAAAAAAAAAAAAAAAATTATCGGTGATTGTGTTTCTAAAACAGTTATCAGTTTAATCTTCAGTAGAACTCAACTGACAGAAATACACAATGACTTCATTTTTAACAAAGTCAAAATATACATACGAAAAGGTTATGGGGGAAAAGGCAGAGATAATTATTTTTTCCCCGAAAGGTATTTTCTACGACGAATGTTTTTATGTAATAAAAAATAAAATGACAAAAGTTTAGAATGTTTGTGGGTTTTGTTCGTTAAATCCTTAATTATATAAATTAATATATACATTAGATTAAGATACATATTTTTCCTCTACAACATTTCTCCATTCTCTGTATCTTAAATCCTGACATTAAATGTCATTAAATTTCTTAAATCTCAAGAGAACGACTTGGTTACCAAGGAAGATATAATCCATAACCTAGAGAGTAGGCGAATAAAAGCAGCTTCTAATGTTATCAACTGCTTTTCTCCTGTCAACCAAATGTTTCTGTAAATAACTCCTTTCTGTTGGTTTTAGGAAAGACGTGGGAGAAAGAAGAATCTCTGAATGGAGGAGTCTGAAAAGGATGCTTGACAAAACGCCCGCGCTCTCTGGAGAGGCAGCCAGTCTTCTCCCTCCTAGGGTCTGGTCTTGACGATAGCATCTCGTGTTTTGGGGACGCCTTTCCCTACCAGAGTCTTCTAAAGCCCAGCTGTACCCACCCTTAAGTGGGAGATAAGGCTTCTGCCCGCGGGCTCTGCGTTCTTCCACCCGGCCCCACCTTTGCTGTGGACTAAACAGGAGCCACTGGACTAGAGTACACTGGCTCTCGGCTATGCGGACCAAAGATTCCAGGACTAAGGAAAAGCTAGGTTAGGCAGAAAGTCCATACTGGGCTTGCTGTAAACGTCTTTTCAGGAGCCACCTGCCCAGTGCAGTAAGTCCGGTACTTAGTTGATTCGAGCGCTCCAGGGAGACGCCCGACCCTACTCTGCGCAGCCCCGGGGTACCGGCTCCGCTTCCCCCAAGTCCACTGAGGCAGGCGCCTCCCGCTCTGGGACAGTCAGTAAACAAGCCACGAACCGCGCCAGGGGTCAGAGTACCCAGAGGCCCCGCCCAGCTGCCGGCGCAGCCAATCGTAGCGCAGCCAGGAGGTGGGGCGGTGCCGGCGGAGCCCAGACCCGAGGTTTTAGAGGCAGAGTCAGGCGAAGCTGGGTCAGAACCGCGACCTCCGCAACCTCAAGAGCGGCATCCGTGGAGTGCGCCTGCGCAGCTACGACCGCAGCAGGAAAGCGCTGCCGGCCAGGCCCAGCTGGGGCCGGACAGGGACTGGAAGAGAGGACGCGGTCGAGGAGTTGTGCACCAGCCCTGGCAACGAGAGCGTCTGCCCTGAGCTCTGCCGGCCTTAAGGTGGGGAAGCGGGGGAGGGCAATTAAGGACCCCGCGGAAGCGCGGAGACCACGCAGGCGGGGTCCCTGGTTGAGCGGGCAGGCTAGCCTCCGAGCCGGGTGGACACAGGTAGCGCAGCCAGGCCGCGCCGCGCCGACTCAGGGCCTGGCCCGGTCAGAACAGGGAAGCTCAGTCCCCGCACTCCAGACAGCGGTGCTCCTGCTGGCGTCACCGCAAATATCCTCTGACCGCTGCAGCCTGTGTGTGGCGCAGGCGTCACGTCCCCGGCCTTGCCACGCCTGGAGCCCTGGAAGCTGGCTGCGGGGCGCTGGCTTCCCGCGGGCGGCCATATGACCCCGTCCCTGATTTAGGGGATCAATTTGGGGTGTCGGCAGCACAGGCCCAGGTGAGTGAAGGAGGGAGCAGTGTGTGCTGTCCTTCCCAGTTTTTCCTGGGAAAGCATTTCAGAAGGGTTTCATTTAAGGAGAGGTTGGGGCAGGCGCGCTGGCTCACCCCTGTAATCCCAGCACTTTGGGAGGCTGAGGTGGGACGGATTCACTGAGGGTCAGGAGTTCGAGACAGCCTGGCCAACATGGTGAAACTCCGTCTCTACTAAAATACAAAATTAGACGGCGAGGGTGGCACACGTCTGTAGTCCCAGCTAGTCAAGAGGCTAGGAAGAATGGCTTGAACCCGGGGAGGCGGAGGTTTGCCGTGAGCTCAGATCACCCATTGCACTCCAGCCTGGGCGACAGAGGCAAGACTCCATCTCAAAAAAACAAAAACGGAGAGGTTTGAAACATATCCTCGCTTCAGCTGTTTGGTTAGTCAAGGATGATGTGTGAAGGCCTGCCTAATTCTTTGGGGATCTCTTTGTCACTACTTGGGAATCCCACCTTATCATTATTGAGGTTTTGCCTGGGCACAAAACCTGGGATTTTTGCCAATTGGTACAAAACCTGGATCAACTGTTTTCTGGTTTCCTAGTTTGTTGCCTTAAGCTTCTCACCCACAAGGTGCTTTCATACCTTCTCATAACCTAATTATCATCCCATAAACTGTTTAAACTCTTACAGCTCTAGACACGCTGCTTTTCATTTTGGTGGGTCCATCCAGCACCTTTCCCCATGTGCCCTGTTTTTCTCCAGGCACATCCTTGGCCTCTTCCACAGTCCTTGGGTAAATGCTTGGAAGAATAAGTTAAATATTTTTATTCGACGATGATGGCCCTAATTTTTCAGGGGGCAGTAAGATTGCTTTTTAGGATCAATCTAATCAGATCCTCATTTCTTTTCCCTTCCTAGGTTTTGAAACATGAATCCTACATTCATCCTCGCTACCTTTTGCCTGGGAATTGCCTCAGCTACTCTAACATTTAATCACAGTTTAGAGGCACAGTGGACCAAGTGGAAGGCGATGCACAACAGATTATACGGCATGGTTAGTGGTATCTGAAACTTCCCCAGAAAAAATAGTCTTGGCTGTTGAGAAGTTTTAGAGAGTAGCTTCTAGAGGCCAGCTTTCACCAATAGCCTAATGTAATAACCTAATGGCACCGATGATGAGCACAGTATGGGCATTCATCCCGTTTCTGTCTCAGTTTGGGGAACAGCATCCCCAGAGGCGTCAAGCCTTCCCTGGCCATGGTTTCTCTTCCGTCTCTGTCTGCAGAATCACTTGGTGAGCATGAGTTGGGTTTTAGGTAGAAATAAAGAGCATCAGTTACATGTTTGCCTCTAGAATGAAGAAGGATGGAGGAGAGCAGTGTGGGAGAAGAACATGAAGATGATTGAACTGCACAATCAGGAATACAGCCAAGGGAAACACAGCTTCACAATGGCCATGAACACCTTTGGAGACATGGTGAGTGTGCTGTGGACCGCCGAGCTCTGTGCTTCCTCCCCTCAGTTCTTTACTAAAGTAATCTCTTGCTTTTCAACATTTTATTTCCTTTTCCTTGAAGACCAGTGAAGAATTCAGGCAGGTGATGAATGGCTTTCAAAACCGTAAACCCAGGAAGGGGAAAGTGTTCCAGGAACCTCTGTTTTATGAGGCCCCCAGATCTGTGGATTGGAGAGAGAAAGGCTACGTGACTCCTGTGAAGAATCAGGTGAGACAGTGTCAGGGCCAGACCTCCCATCTTCCCAGAAAAGCCAAGAAGTGATTGACATCTTTGTTTTGGTAGACTTTAAAGCGATGTGCGGTTCACTTTTTAACAGTATTCAGATGTGTGAGCTGTTGTCAAAGTCTTACTATTTTTTTGTGAATGACAGCTTTTTTTATTCCCTCTTTAGGGTCAGTGTGGTTCTTGTTGGGCTTTTAGCGCTACTGGTGCTCTTGAAGGACAGATGTTCCGGAAAACTGGGAAGCTTGTCTCACTGAGTGAGCAGAATCTGGTAGACTGCTCTGGTCCTCAAGGCAATGAGGGCTGCAATGGTGGCCTAATGGATTATGCCTTCCAGTATGTTGCCGACAATGGAGGCCTGGACTCTGAGGAATCCTATCCATATGAGGCAACAGTAAGTGGAGCTCCTTGTCCTCATTCCAGCGCAGCTTTTGGGAGGTGGAACACTTTCAGAGATAACAGATACCTTTTTTGGAATTCATGTATTAGGGCTGGGTGGGGTGGCTCACGCCTGTAATCCCAGCACTTTAGGAGGCTGAGCCGGGTAGATGGCTTGAGCTCAGGAGTTTGAGACCAGCCTGGGCAACGAAGTAAAACCCTGACTCTACCAAAACTACAAAGAAAATTAGCTGGCTGTGGTGGTGTGCGTCTGTGGTCCCAGCTAGGCTGAGGTAGGACGATTGCTTGAGTGTAGGAGGTGGTTGTGCAAATGCACTCTCCAGTCTGAGTGACAGTGTGACCCTGTCTTGAAAAAAGAAAAAAGTTCACATATTAGATGGCAGAATCTATAGCTGCAAATTGTCAGTACTGTCATTGTAAATTATTAGCCTTTGCACAATTCTGTGATTAGATGGTTAACATATAGCTGTTCTTGCTTCTGTGTAACATGAAGAATATACAAGCCATTCTACATACACACATTTCTCTATTGTGAAAAATGTCTTATGGAAGTAAACCCAGGGGTCTCATTGAAGAGACTGGAGCCAATTTTCAGTTTCAAATTAACTAATAGCATTTCACTTCCTGGGATGATTTATAACAGTGGTGACTTGGAAATCCTAAGCCGCACACTGCTTAGTGTTGTAGTTCTAACTCATGTTCTCCAGGAGGAGGACAGCAGTCATCAAGTCTTTTTTTTCCCCTTTACCTTTAAAAGGAAGAATCCTGTAAGTACAATCCCGAGTATTCTGTTGCTAATGACACCGGCTTTGTGGACATCCCTAAGCAGGAGAAGGCCCTGATGAAGGCAGTTGCAACTGTGGGGCCCATTTCTGTTGCTATTGATGCAGGTCATGAGTCCTTCATGTTCTATAAAGAAGGTAAGCATTTTTTTCTTTGTAGAAATTGATGCAGAAAAAGAGTATCATGACATACGAGAATGATAGACTCTGGTTTGTAAAGTTCATTATAGATATTTAGGTGCTTAGCATCATAGTTGTTTATTCTGTACATGCAATATTTATGCCTGATGTTTCCATTTGACCTTATGTTGAGCATCTGTCCATGAATATAAGTACTTCATAACTTTTTATAAATAGCTGTATCATTTACTGTGTAGTTTAGTATACTTAAATATTCTGTAATTGTTGAATTTTTATAATTTTTCTGAAGATTTTTACTTCTGTTATTAAATCTGAAAAGAGCCTTTTGATTCAAGGATTTCAGTGTTCTGTGCTAGTTTTTTAGATTGATATCCTAGAGTAGAATTGCAAGCTTACAAAGAGTGGTCTTTTTTTCCTCTAGGAGAGTTTTTTTTTTTTTAAATGAAGGGTTTATGCTGATTTCTATTTCTGCTAGTTGTAAATGAGAGCTTAAATCCCTAGCCTTGCTAACAATAGATCTTATTGTTGTTAAGTACTATCTGGAATGTGTGTCACTTCACTGAATTCAGAGATGCCTCATTCCCTGTGGGTGACAGGTGGGTTACTGTCGTGTGTCTTCTGGAACTTCTCACCCCCGCCTTCGTTTTGCTATCCCAGGCATTTATTTTGAGCCAGACTGTAGCAGTGAAGACATGGATCATGGTGTGCTGGTGGTTGGCTATGGATTTGAAAGCACAGAATCAGACAACAGTAAATATTGGCTGGTGAAGAACAGGTATAAATTGCCAGAAATAGTTATATTTGAAATTCAAAAGAGAATACTTATTTGCAAACAGTGTTTGGATACAGTTCCACATGCCCTTTAGGCATACTTCTGAAATCCCCAGAAGTCTAAGTTGAACATGTAATATTAATGTTTGATTATAAAAGTAAGATACTGTCACAAACATCTTGGGAGTATTAATATAGTATTTGTTCCATTGTATAAATGTGTGTCTAAATCTGAACATTTTTTAAATTCTGAGGCATATCTGGCTGCAAAGACATCCTATTATTTTCCTGTCTCTGATCTGCAGTTCTGTGAAAGGTCACAGTTTTGAGGCTGGGATGGAACTTATGTCCAGGTTCAGACTCAAGAATTGTTTTTTTTTTTTTTTTGAGACGGAGTCTCGCTCTGTCCCCCAGGCTGGAGTGCAGTGGCCGGATCTCAGCTCACTGCAAGCTCTGCCTCCCGGGTTCATGCCATTCTCCTGCCTCAGCCTCCCGAGTCGCTGGGGCTATAGGCGCCACCACCTCACCCGGCTAGTTTTTTGTATTTTTTAGTAGAGACAGGGTTTCACTGTGTTAGCCAGGATAGTCTCGATCTCCTGACCCAGTGATCCGCCCGTCTCAGCCTCCCAAAGTGCTGGGATTACAGGCTTGAGCCACCGCGCCCAGCCCAGACTCAAGAATTTTTAAGGATAAACAGGAATATTGCCTTTCCTGATTCTTTCTGTTAAGTCTGTGGCCTCTGGCACAGTGTTTAAGTTGGGTGTTCCTGTTAGCAACCCTTTGGGCTTTATTCTTTCTCTGAAATGGAAAACCTGCTCTTTTTTCAGCTGGGGTGAAGAATGGGGCATGGGTGGCTACATAAAGATGGCCAAAGACCGGAGGAACAACTGTGGAATCGCCACAGCAGCCAGCTACCCCACTGTGTGAGCTGGTGGACAGTGATGAGGAAGGACTTGACTGGGGATGGCGCATGCATGGGAGGAATTCATCGTCAGTCTACCAGCCCCTGCTGTGTCGGATACACACTCGAATCATTGAAGATCCAAGTGTGATTGGAATTCTGATATTTTCACACTGGTAAATGTTACCTCTATTTTAATTACTGCTATAAATAGGTTTATATTATTGATTCACTTACTGACTTTGCATTTTTGTTTTTAAAAGGATGTATAAATTTTTACCTGTTTAAATAAAATTTTAATTTCAAATGTAGTGGTGGGGCTTCTATTTTTGATGCACTGAATTTTTGTGTAATAAAGAACATAATTGGGCTCTAAGCCGTACCTGCTGTGCCAGTGGCTCACTACGAGGAAGAGTGGGTGGCCTTCTGGGTCTTCTACTTACAAACGTGCAGATCTCATGTCAGCTGCCCAGTGGCTGTGTCTGACCCAATCCTTGATTGCAGCAAAACTTGAAAATGATCTATGAGGACAAAGGAAAATTGTTTGAATAAAGAAAAAAATTCACTTTTTAGAAAAGTGAACATACATATATATAATTTTAATACTAGAAAAGGACCTTAGTGATCGTGTTTATTTCACCCAAGGTGGTTGCATCTCAGTCAAGTTACAGGGCAAAGGTCTCAGCCTGTTTCTGGAGCATCTTCCCCAGCTGCTGCTGAAGACCCCATGGCCACTTTGCAGTTGAGGTGAGACAAGGTACTACTGCATTGGCAAGGCTGTTTGTGTTCGGGTCCTCAAGGGATGAGGAATAAACTTCAGGGTTTGAGGCTGGGGTTCAGAAATGGTACTCTGGCCTCAGAAAGTAAAAGAGAGGTGAGAGGCTAGAAAGGATCATCTGTTGCCCCATTTAGAGTAAGCTACCTGAAAATACCTGATCTACTTTTTTTAAAAAGAAAACCTTCCCACATTGTACTAGCTAAACAACCCATACTTCCATCACCTGTGTGTTTTCGGAAGTCTCTTGTTCCAACCGAAGGAAATATAAAGAACAAATGAGAATGTCTAATGAATAGACTCCATATCACAGAGGAAGGTAACCAGGTGCACAACGGAGTCTCAGCTCACAAAGCCTCTGGAAGGCTCTGTCCAAGTCCATCTCAATTGGACCACGTGCCATGCTGGACTCCCATATGCCCTTCCCGAGTAGTTGCTAAAATTTCAAACTTTTTTACCTAAAATGACAAATGTGGCATCTATGAAATTCTTTGGGTATTGTAATAAAAGTCACCAGGCGTAGCAAGATTTGGGGAGGTTCCCAGGCTAAATCCCTCGTGCAGGTTGGGGCTAATATTTGATACAACTAGAATTTATATACAACACCCACTGCGTGCTGGTCATCACCACCGTGGAAGAGACAGACCCTGACCTCAAGGAGCTGAACTGTTAGGGAGAGTGAGGTGATAAGGGAGGGCTTCCAAAAAGAAGTTAAAGCAGATGGCTAGAGCAGCTAGTCAATAAGGAAAGATGAAGAGGTGAGCATCTTAGCAGAGACTAGCACCTCAGCACCCCTGAGAAAAGACCCTGTAGTTAACAGTTAACCCAGTAAAAGTCACTGGGTCCAGGTGTTGGGAGATAAAGCTGGTCAAGAGGTAGATTTTCAGGTAAAGGAGCCACTGGAAATGCAGTGAACAGACTGTTTTGGTTTTTTGTTACTATAAAACACTGGCAGGAGAATAGCTTGAACTCAGGAGGTGGAGGTTGCAGTGAGCCGAGACAGTGCCACTGCATTCCAGCCTGGGCAACAAGAGTGAAACTCCATCTCAAAAAAAAAAAAAAAGAAAGAAAATATAAAAAGAGCTCTCAAAATTCAGCCATAAGAAGAACAACCCAATTATATACTGGACAATTGACTTAAACAGACACTTTACCAAATCTATGGGTGGCATAGATTTGCATACTCCATGTCATATTTCATCATGGAAATGCCAATGAAAACAATGAGGTACCACTACACACATACCATGATGGCCAAAATCCAAAACACCAACAACGCCAAATATTGGTGAGGATATGGAGGAAAGAAAGTCTCATTTATCGCTGGTGGGAATGCAAAATGGTACAATCTTTTTGGAAGACAGTTTGGCAGTTTTTAAAAACATAAATCTTAACATATTCTTACCACACAATCCAGCAATGCCACTCATTAGTATTTACCCAGATGAATTGAAAACTGTGTCCACACAAAAACCTGTATCATGGTGAGTGGTGACTATCTGGGCCATTGCACAGGTGGTAAAATAATTTACCAAGGCAATTGTAGGTAAAGAAAGGCAGATTTATTAAAGAAAGTAGGAAAATATGTTGCAAGGGCGCAACAGGCTGGTCAGCAAGAGAGGAGCTGACTGCCAGGAGAAAAAAGCTTGCTGCGGATTTTATGGAATGGTGTTTGTGCTGGGTGCTGAAGTGGGCTTTGTGCAGTACTGATAATGCCAAAATTGCAGTGAGCTTATTTGCATTTTTCTGTCAGTCAAGGGTCTGGTGATAGCTGGATGCAGGAAGATTGTAAGTTATTTGTGCAGGAGAACTGTGTGTCCTGGACCATGAAGAAAGGCAAACTCATTGCTTATCTGCTTTCTTTTTTTGCTTTCCCTCCATCCTGCCAGCCTGACTACCCCTCCCCAATTAGGACTCCACAATCTGCACACTAACATTTATAACAGCTGTATTCATAATTGCCCAAACTTGGAAGTAATCAAGAAGTCCTTCAGTAGGTGAATGAATAAATAAATGTAGTAAAGCCAGCCAATGAAGTATTATTCAGCACTAAAAAGAAATGAGTTCTCAAGTCATGAAAAGATATGAAGGGAACTTAAATGTGTATTACTAACGAAAGAATCCAGGCTACATACTGTATTCCAACTATATATCTTTCTGGAATAGGCAAAACTATGGAAACAGCGAAATCATCAGTCGTTGCGAGAGATTAGGAAGTAGGAAGGGGTGAATAGGGAGTACACAGGATTTTTAGGTCAGTGAAACTATTCTGTGTGATACTATACCGGTGAATACGTGTCCTCGTACATTTGTCAAAACCCATAGAACGCACAACACCAAGAGTGAATCCTAGTGTTTATTATGAACTTTGGATGATAATGGCGAGTCACTGTAGGTTCTTGGACTGTAGGAAATGGACTACTCTGGTGCATATGTTGATAGTGGTGGGGGAGGAGAGGCTGTAGGGGTTTGGAGAAGAGGCACACGGAACTTCCTGTTCTTTCCACCCAATTTTGATAAGAACCAAACTTAGCTGTTAAAAATTATGGTTATTAATTCTAAAAAGAAACAAAGACTATCTAATTTTTTACAAATTGCTCTAATTTCATAGAATTGTGCATTAAAAATACGAGATACTACAAAAAAGAAATTATAGCAGTGCTCTAGACAGGAAAGGGGCATGAGAGAACTTTCTGGAATAATAGTAATGTATATCTTGATAGGGATTTGGGTCATACTGGTATATGCAATTGTCAAAACTCAAAGACCATACACCTCAGATTTGTGCATTTCAATCAATGTAAATTGTATAGTAAAACTAGGATTTTAAAACAACTATTAAACCCTTGTTAATAATATGCATGCTAAAGTATTTAGGAGGAAGCACTACCTGCAAATTTCTTGAAAGTACATGAAAAATAACATGAACTAATGGACAGATAGAGGCAAAAATAGATATATAGATGTGAATTAAAACAAATATTAAAGTGTTAATGACAAAATCTTAGAGGTAGATATATGGTATTCACTGTAAAAATTATTTCAACTTTGTTGTATGTTTGAAAATTTACAAAATATAATGTTAAAGGAAAATTGCAGCAGAGATAATATTCTAAATAGCTAAAAAAAATTTTGACTTTCAGAAGACCAGACTCCTTGAGAGAGAAAAAATTATTTTTGTTTTGTTGTTCGTTTGCTTGTTTTTTAATTCTGGCAGCAGCAGAGGAACTCTGACTCCTGGGGTGCAGAAAAATTCTCCGTGGAAGCCCCGTGAAGGAGGTGGGGGACCGCGGCAAAGGCGAGGAAGAGGACGAGGATGAGGATGTCTAGGATAACTGGGATGATGGTGATGACAGGAAAAAGAAAAAAGAGGAAGCAGAAGTAAACATTTTAGGAAAGAAAAAACTAGCAGAGAAGATAGAAAGAACGGCAACAGAAGAAAGGGGAGGAAGAAATTAAAAGGGGTTAGAAGAACCTGAAGAACTCCAGGTGCTAACACCAGAGGAACAATTAGCAGATAAATCACAGCTGGAGAAATCACAGAACGAGTCGGACATGGAATTAGCAAAGGCAACTTTTGGTGTAAAGACTACTGTATATGGAACGGGTGCTATAAACCCATCTTCAAGGGATGACCTTACAGAGTTTGGAAAGTTACTAAAAGATAAAATTACACAAAATAAAAAGTCACTATATTATGCCAAATTTTTGGAAGTCTTAGTTGGAGATACTGATGACTTTAAAAAGGTTCCCAATACATTGTGCTTTGAAGTGAAAAACAGAAGCAAGCAAAGCCAAGCCAAAAAGAAGAACAAAGGTGTGGTTCCTGCAGGGAGATTAAAAGCCACCATGATAAATGAACTGCTAGATTGTGGTGGTGACGATGCAGGGTACGCACAAGACTATGAAAACGTCATGTGACATTGCATCTTTTCCTGGTGTCGTCTTTCTGTTGCCCACAACCCCTTCAACGCACAGCACAACTTCCTTTCCTTTCCGTTCTGCCAAATGCTACAATCGAAGTGCAGTCTCTTTCGTCCTGGTTATTTAACCCCTTGACACTTAGGTGTTAACGTGCAAATGAGGGAGCTTGGGTCTTGCTGCCAAGGTGTTAATATCAGGAACCTCAATTGCTACTAAATCATAGTCCAAAACAAAACAAACCTAATAATGTTGTCATTTTTGGTTTCAGATTTCGTAGCGGCAGTCACTAAAAATTGGAAACAGAAGGCTGCAACATGACAAAATAAATTGTGTAGTACTTAACAGCACTATTCAGTGATACAGCCTTAACCATCCCTCCTTGAACTACTTCCTAACTTGTCAAGAGAAGCAGTTTGCAGCAAGGACATGTGGCATGCACCTAGTATTAAAATTGCTTTGTCTTAAAATTGAATGTGAGGCTATTAAAAATACATTGTAAGAAGACTGCTTATGCCAGAGTGAAGATACTGTGGCTGAAAAGCACTAGTTTGATTAAAATTAAATGACCAAAGCCTTCCAACTTTGAATCCGAAGAGCGTAAGCCTCTCCATT